AAGGTGGGTTCACCTAAATGACCTGCCCTAGTCACTTTGATGCAATACTGGGGCCACTGATACGACCCCCCCCCCCTTTACCCCTCTCCATCACTCCACTGGACAATAGTCCCTTGACAACGGCAGTCCAGCAAGCCGCAGGAACTGAACACCCCCGCCTGTCGTTTAGTAACGCAATTAACTCGTCTCCCGACACCATAACACCGCGTTATTTACAAACCTACACCTTTAACGCTACGGGATTTATGACCTCTTCCGAAAAAAACTGTGAAATACGATCGTACTCGATGCTATTCCCACATTTGAAATGGACTCCAACACAATTTTCATCGATGCAGCTGTAATAAATCCTTTCTGTTTTCAGAAAACTCGTCCAATTGTTGCTATTATTTGCATATTTTAAGTGATATTGAAGAATGCCTTGAATAAAAACATTTATATCATAAAAGTGAAACTCTTAGGTGTCAGACTATTCACAGTGTAAACACACACACAAAAACAATGAATGAAAATTAGTTTAGACGATTCGACGACGGGGGTGATGGAACGATAAGGCTACACATGGGCCGAAATCACGGTCCACAATTTATTTTCTACAACGAAACACCAGAAAACGAATGAAATGTATCAATCAATAAAAAATGAAAATTGCCTATTGACATCACCGGAGGATCAACATGCATCAAAAAACATTCCAAAATCGTCGCCGCTGCCTGGAATGCTTTTTGCGCTCACAACTATCGGCAAGTGCGTTGAGGTTCAACAATGGATGCCTCAGAAGCATTACGACGAGAATGATATGTACCTAACAAGTTTCAAACTTGCTTATCAACATTATCAATGCGTATATTTAGAGTTTCCACGCAGAAACTTCTTACTATTATCACTACGGGGGGTTATATGATGCAAAATTATATAAATACAAAAATGTGACAAGAAATAGTCGAGATCATCCCGACGACAAGAACAATGTGGAAAATACGGTACAATCTCACCGATATGTAACCCTGATGCCCGAATGAAGAAAAACGAACGCAAAGCGACCGCAGTTGTCATGCAAACTGAAGCCGCTAATTCGTTATGGGCGACCCTGTTTCGTCAGGGCCTTATAGAGATCAAGAACGTCATTACGGAATCGCTTAGTCGAGCCTTAGATTCATAGGCAGCTTTCTCTTGACTATCATATCTGGCCAGTTCCTACAATCCATATGGCGACATCCACCGTAGTCACAACAGGTGAATCGAAGAAACTATCAGTTCATCGAGAATTGCCCCACGTACTGTTGCTGTGGTGGAAACGGCTGCATTCCTTGAGGATATCCGCTTGGATAGCCGCCTGCGGGCGGCATCGGCTCCATCATTGGTCCAGCAGCGCTCATCGGTGCTCCTCGCATGCCCATCATACGCTGACCACTCATGAATGCTGATGCTGACGGATCGACACCACTAGCGAACCTGAAATCAACTAATTTTCACTAACTGGGTCATCTAGTCTCTTCTGTGACGTTCATTAAACGCCGAAGTAATACTTAGAAAACTGAAAGAAACGACTAGCAGTTAGTTATCTACGAAGTTTCAAAATCGACTGGCTATTATGGTTTCCTACAAGTCATCAACCCGATTGGCGCGACGGGTCACAGAAATCACAAGTGCCCGATCAATACTGCAGGTGCTCTCCAATCCCGCCGCCATTTCTGCTTGATGGTGATGGTTGAATGACGACTGTTCATGATTCTACTTGTTTCATATTCAGTTTCAAATGTTCAAATGGGGCACTTGCGATTTTTCGATCGCAAGTCGCGCGACAGGATCGCAGACTCTGACACCAGCCTAAGCCACTAACCCATCGCTCATCGCGTGAGGTTTTCTTCCCTACTCCCCTCCCCCCACCCCTTTCCC